CATACCCCCCTCGTATATACCCCTAAAATGAACCTAAACCCTAAACCCTAAACCCTAAACCCTAAACCCTAAACCAATACTTGATTTTATATCTATTCTTTAAATTACCGTTCATAATGTATAAAATGACCATTATTATATTTTTTAATAAGTGACTTTCCTCTATTGTCAATCAATTTCACATTAAACCATATTTATCTATATACCTTAACTCATAATCCACATTTTATCTAAGATTGAGCTTGAACATTATTATATTTTTTAATAAGTGGTTTTCTTCTATTGTCACATTCAAACATAATCACATTAAACCATATTTATCTATATACCTTAACTCATAATCCACATTTTATCTAAGATTGAGCTTGAAAATTATTATATTTTTTAATAAGTGGTTTTCTTCTATTGTTTCAAACATAATCACATTAAACAATATTTATCTACATACATTAACTCATAATCCACATTTTATCTAAGATTGAGCTTGAACATTATTATATTTTTTAATAAGTGGTTTTCATCACATTAAACAATATTTATCTACATACCTTAACTCATAATCCACATTTTATCTAAGATTGAGCTTGAACATTATTATATTTTTTAATAAGTGGTTTTCTTCTGTTGTCACTTTCAAACATAATCACATAAACAATATTTATCTACATACCTTAACTCATAATCCACATTTTATCCAAGATTGAGCTTGAACATTATTATATTTTTTAATAAGTGGCTTTCTTCTATTGTCACTTTCAAACATAATCACATTAAACAATATTTATCTACATACCTTAACTCATAATCTACATTTTATCTAAGATTGAGCTTGAACATTATTATATTTTTTAATAAGTAGTTTTCTTCTATTGTCACATTCAAACATAATCACATTAAACAATATTTATCGACATACCTTAACTCATAATCCACATTTTATCTAATATTGAGCTTGACATTATTATATTTTTTAATAAGTAGTTTTCTTGTATTGTCACTTTCAAACATAATCACATTAAACAATATTTATCTACATACCTTAACTCATAATCCACATTTTATCTAAGATTGAGCTTGAACATTATTATATTTTATAATAAGTGGTTTCTTCTATTGTCAATTTCAAACATAATCACATTAAACAATATTTATCTACATACTTTAACTCATAATCTACATTTTATCTAAGATTGAGCTTGAGCATTATTATATTTTTTAATAAGTGGTTTTCTTCTATTATCACTTTCAAACATAATCACATTAAACAATATTTATCTACATACCTTAACTCATAATCCAC